CTGCTGAACCTCAAAGGGCACCGGTTCACTCGTTCTGCAAGGTCTTAACTGCTTCAGATACCAGCACCCATGGTGGCTTCTCGGTTCTCAGGAAACATGCCACGGAATGCCTTCCTGCGTTGGTAATGCCATCTGTTTTTTATTTTTGTTGAATTTCTTGTTGGCTTATTTCAACAAAATTGGTTGGCTTATTTCAGAAAGTTGTTTGGATTTGTTTTATTAGGACTTGTCCCAACCAACACCAACTCAGGAATTGGTCGCGAAGGATCTTCATGGCTATGAATGGCGCTTTAAGCATATATTTAGAGGTAAAGGACATGAGAATTGAGAAGTTTTGTTTTCCGTCCTTGTGATTTAACTTTCTGATTGCCTACTGATTTTACCTTTAACTTGTTTTTCTTTTTGATCAGGTCAACCTCGCAGACACTTGCTCACGACTGGATGGAGTACTTTTGTGACATCCAAGAGATTGGTTGCTGGAGATACCTTTGTCTTTTTGAGGTAAACATTGATTGTTTTCATTCATATGGTTCAGAAATCTTCTAGGTTTTTACTGTAAATGCATATAAGATCATTTTGTTTGGCCTATAATAGTGTTACTTTAGCTAAGATCTTGTGTGTGTAGAGGGGCCAATGGGGAGTTACGTGTTGGTGTGAGACGTCTAGCTCGTCAGGCAAGTAGCATGCCTTCATCTGTGATTTCCAGTCAGAGCATGCACCTGGGAGTTCTCGCAACCGCTTCTCATGCTGTTTCAACTCAGACTCTTTTTGTAGTATATTATAAGCCAAGGTAGAAATTTTACTTGTTACAAGAACTAGAAAATGTGTTATTGGTAATTAGCGCATGCTTTTTGACATGAGTTTTGTTTGCTTAGGACGAGCCAGTTCATCATAGGCGTGAACAAGTATTTGCAGGCCATGGACAACAAGTTTAGCGTTGGCATGAGGTTTAGGATGAGATTTGAGGGGGATGATTCTGCTGAGACTGACAAAAGGTAACAAAATTTATTAAGGTTGTAACTGTTTGTTTATTATTTGACCTTTTCATAGCTCTTCTAATAGATTTTTGTTCAGATTTTCGGGTACTATAGTTGGAGTGGAAGATATTTCTCCTTATTGGGTAAATTCAAAATGGCGATCCCTCAAGGTATTGTCATCTTTCACTCTGCAGTTCATCTTATTCCAGTGATCATATGGTACTCATCTTTTTATGTTCTGTCAATTCCCAGGTTCAATGGGATGAACCTGCAGCTGTTCCAAGACCTGATAGGGTTTCACCATGGGAGATAGAACCCTTTGTTGCTTCTGCTTCTACTCCTTCGGTCCAACCTGCTATAGTAAAGACTAAAAGGCCCCGACCTCCCAGCGAAATTCCAGAAGTTGGTGAGTAATTATTTTGTCATAACTCATCTCATTTCTTATTTGGATTCAGTTATTGGTTTTGTTTGACACCTGACTATTAATTTTAAACCAGACACGACGTCTGCTGCTTCTGTTTTCTGGGATGCTGGTCTGCCACAGGCTGATAATATGGCACAAATCAATGTTTTGGCTGAAAGCAAACGGAATGAAAATACTGGTACATGGCATCATTTGCAAACTGACATGAATAGTAAAAGCAACAGCAACAACACTATGTTGAGGAATCAGACAGAAGGAAGTTGGCTATCTTCTCCCCATTCCAGTTGCCCACCTCACTTGTTTCAGGACACAACAGATGATAGCAAGAGTGTCTCAGCTTGGCCTGTTTCAAAGCCTCCCTCATCCAGATTGAACCATGACCATGCACCCGACCAAGTTGACAAGGAGAGCAAAGTTGAGACAGCTACAAGTTATCGTTTATTTGGAATTGAGCTTATTGATCATTCTAGGAACTCACCTGCTTTGGAGAAGGCATCTGCACATGCAGTAAATGTACCCAAAGTTACTACCGAAGGCAGTGCCAGCACCTTGTCCCGAGCCGATGCTGGCCAAAAGTCGGAGGTACCAAGGGCTTCTTCGAAAGAGAGGAAACAAGAACAGCAACAAGTATCCCCAAAGGAGAGTCAGAGCAAGCAAATTTGTCGAAGTCGCACCAAGGTATTGAACATAGATTGTTTGTTTAGATAGACTGTTGAGATGTTATATAATACAAGTCTAATAAGAATTTTTTCTAACATGAACCTTCAATTGATGTTCAAAACCTGTCAAAAGGTTCAAATGCAGGGTGTTGCGGTGGGGCGTGCTGTGGATTTGACCATGTTGGATGGGTATAAGCAACTTATAAATGCATTGGAGGAGATGTTTGACATAAAGGGACAACTTCAACACAGGAATAAATGGGAAATTGTCTTCACCGATGACGAAGGGGACATGATGCTTGTAGGAGATGATCCATGGCCGTGAGTATCTATTTAAACACAATTATAACATCAGACCAACACACGTTTCTGTTGAATGAATTAGTTGTAGGAACAATGGTGTTGATTAAAGGAATTGGAGCGAAAAAAGAAGGGAAAAGTACTAGTATATACTACATAATATAATAAATCAGTGTAACACCATGCTGATGGGTATCATATTTTCTTGCAGTGAGTTCTGTAATATGGTGAGAAGAATCTTCATTTGTTCAAGTCAGGATGTGAAGAAGATGAGTTCTGGAAGCAAACTTCCAATCTCTTCTTCAGTGGAAGATGGGACCGTAATAAGCTCAGACACAACCGAAACCTGAAACTGTGACATTCTTTCTTGTGGTTTTACGTATGTTTGTCAGCACCCAAATGCTGATCCCTTCTTGTTGCTTCAATTGTTTGAGGGAAAGAAGTTAGTCTATATTTGGGCTGGGTAAGTTTCATGTTATTAGATGTGAAACACTAGCTAATTGTAACTTAATTTGTAGAGACACCAGACATTAATTGTGCTAGAAAGACCAAAACAGATTTCTTTAATAAATTAGTGGGAGAAGGCAAATTAGGCTTTAGCATCTTGTGAATATTCAATGTTTTAAGTTAGACAAAGAATGTTGGGGGGTTCATGTTTCAAAGACTTTGCCTTAAGGGCTTATTCATTCATGATTTGTATGCATATAATGTGCACTGTGGTGCCCTCTAAAATTCTAGTCTGGGTGAGTCAAATGTGTCTGTTGCCGTCATCTGTGAATGTAAATTATGGCATTAAATTGCTTCAATTGTATTGTTCAGAAATGCAGTGGTCCACTGTGCCAGTGAGTCACTGATTACCCTGACAAATGGGTTGAATCTTGCAAGGTGGTGGCACCCCTCAAAATTCAACAACAGTAAAATTTCATGTTACCTCTCAAATCTCCGTAGAGGGTTTTTGTGGGTATGAACCATAATTCCAGCAGTAATACTAATTCCCACACGAAGATCAACTTTCTCTTGTTATGGAGACTATAAATTTGATAAAGTTAACTGATGAATTGTATGATATTAATAATAGATGTCATTTACTTATATTTTGAAAAGGAAAACATACAAGTTAAGTTAATTGATGAAATATTAAATAATTTTCAAGTTATGAATTTTTGTAATACTTGGTGTGCAGAAAAAAGAATATATTAAAGTTTGTACAAGGCACATATGGAATTATTAAATTATAAGGTCATTTAATCGATCATAGATAAAAGTAACATGCCTATTTACTCGGGATTTGATGAAACAGTAAAAGGGTAAATAGATATTTTTTGTCTATGTGCATGTAATTAAATTATTACCATTTATGGTCCTCAAAGAGACAAAGACCGGCGTGTAACATTGAACCGAGATCTTGCGTATCAAAAGCGGTAGTTAAACATTTATTGGGTTGAGAAGTTCAGTGTAACATGAAACCTTTTAAGTTTTAATACCTTTTAACCTAAGACATATGCATATACTTGCCTACCGATGTTGTCTTAAAAGAAGGTATTAAATTTTTTAAATATTCTCTATTGGTAGTTTGGTATAGCTTATACCAGTTACACAGAAAAAAAAAAAAGAAAATATTTAAGGCTGACATGTACGTTGAGTCATAATTTTTCATATCAATTAGTTATAGTTATTTTAAATAACAATCAATTAGTTAAAGTTATTTTAAGTAACAAATATGATTTTTAAATTATTGTAAAATTGCATTGTAATTAAAAATTTTATAAAATTTCTTAATTTGATAGTTAGGAGATGAGAGACATATGATAGTTTGTAAAATGAGGTTAACTATATATATATATATATATATA